AACCACTCACTCAAACCCACCCACCAACCAACCACTCACCCAAACCCATCCACCCGCCAATGAACCAAACACTCACTCACCCAATAAACCAACCCACCCACCAACCAACCAAGCGATTACCTTCATGACTCTAGAGTGTTTGGCTTTATTGCTGGATACAGTTGATAGTAGATCATCCCCAGCGTTTTTGATTTCTGTAACGGTTACAGTGATTGGGCTTCCTGTGGTCGCTGGTGAAAAGGGACTGGCATCTAGTATAGAATATAATACAGTCATGCACTAGTTGAGTAAGTTGGTGCCGACAAACTGAATAACAGTTATAAAAATCACCTGAAATGTTTCCTTTTGCCTTTAGCAATATACAGCTTGCTTTCCTGGCTGAACTTCCAAATTCGCAATTCAAATCCACCCGAATAATTCTACCAGCAAATCTTATCAAATCAGCGTTACCGCTTATCTGAAAAGATAAAATAGGTCACGCAGTTCCACAACGCCATTTTGAAAATTGCTTTATAATAACGACTTACTTTTAATGTTAGAATATTAGGACTGCTTAGATGGCCGTGGGTCGTCGAAAATATCTTGTGACTTTGACCTAAAATAAAAATAATTAAATAATTAAAAACTAAATTCAATACATCCAAAGAGACAGGCCTGTAGCCTGACTTATAAATGGGGGGTTCGTTTTTTTTGACGAAAGGCCTTATGGCGCCTCTCTCGTCACTATGTCATCGTGTTGCGTGATCGGACCGTAACATCCACTTGTAGCAGGCGTTCCTTGCTAGTTCTTGATATTTTTGAGTTGAAAAGAAAAAAAAAAATATCTAGAGAAAAACAAACAAAGTAGCAATAGAAAAGAAAAAGAAGAAAAGAAAAAGAAAACAAGAAAAGAAAAGAAAACAAGAAACAAACCAAAAAGAAACAAGTTAAAAAAAGGAATTCGAGCAGTAGGGCTCGAACTCAGGACTTTCACTTCAGCAGAAGGTGTACCCCCCCCCCATCCCCCCCGACATACATAAGAAATAATGAAAATAAAAAACTAAAAAGATGGGACGATTCCCCCGAGACATTCTATGAAGCTGAGGCGTCGAATCGGCTTACGTTACGGTTAGAGATTTCGGCTCTTCCACGCTATCCCGAGTGAACATAAAACTTAGTCTTAACCAAAAGGTCAGGGAGTGAGGGGGTAGCCGCCCACTAGAGCATACCTTTAGCTACCCTCTTAGACCATCGTACTATGAAGACACTTATAGATATCTAATATCTAATTGGGGTAGTCTATTCGGTGAAGATCTATGCTAATATATGACGTCACCAAAATCCTTAGGGAGCAGCGAGCCAATCAGAGCTCAGCTCAGGAATTAACAAAGGATACAGGTTTGCATAATCATTCTTCAGTAGATTTATTATTTGATGGGGGTGGGGTGGGTGCCGAATTCTGGTTTGCGGCCGAATACCGATGTACTCGATGTAATGTGACGGCTTTTATCGAGCTGTTCAATTGTCGTTATTGTTTTCCAAATCATCACAGGAAAAGTTGTACAGTTCTTATATCAGACAGACATCACAAGTATTCGTATAAACACCACGACAAAAATCTCTTGAAATTCTTAAGGTAAGTGGTTTACAGACCAGGCAGATACTAGCTGTTGTCAAAGATTCGCCGGCATTCAATGGAACGGCACAATTCAAGACCTGAAACTCCAACATTACACTCGAACGTTCCACATTTTCGTTCAGTGGTCAACAAATGAATTAATACATTATTTAAATAAAGTGAATGTTAACAATTCAAGACGATTAATGACAATCCGTATAAAATTGACTAAAGAAATACTGAAAAACTTAGAGCAGAGTCACATGAACCATGAAATAAAAACTAAAAAGCACTAACTAATAGGCACTACTAGTTTCTAATAGTCATTAGCACTGAACCAGAACACTTTATTTGATCCAATAAGCAATACCCAAGAGAACACTATAACAATCAAAGTAATCTCTTTGTACTGTTCTGGTTCAGTGATAGTGTCTAAATAGTGCCTATTAGTTACTAAATATTTAGTTTCTATTTCATGGTTCAAGTGACTCTGCTCTAGCAACCTTGGGAATTTATTGCAAAACCTATAATCAGGCGAATAAGAGTAATTAATATGTAAAAATACATTTTCAATGATATAAATATTTTATCGAAGGAAACGTTCGAGAATTTATCATCAGTTTATAAGTCAACAGATACAGAAAAATTTAAACCTCTAAGAACTCCATGTCGTGGATAAAAAGTCCTTTTACGAATCTTTCAGAAGGATATGTTTACACAGGGCGTCCCGCGACAGGCCCCTCGGAGGAATGATCAACCATTTATACAATAGGTTCCTTGGCCCCTGGGAATCGCCGTCCATTTTGTATTTATAGACAACGTAATAAGTTGATCGCCACTTGATGATTTCAGTTCCTTGCTGCGGCTATTAATTAAGAAAACGTTGAATACTGAAGATAGTGTATTCCAAGAGCGCAATGCATTGCGGGTCTCTCTATCACTGTTCACCATCCAAAAGGATTTGTCATGGTTTCAGAGTCTATACAGGCTTCGTGTTGTATGGTAGAACTTCCAAGGAAAGCAATAAAATTTAAAATTGCTATTTTGTAACACAGCAAACTCGAAGTTTACTAAATCTCTTTTAATGGCCTGAGTCACATGCAGTCCTCTACTGCCTATCTTTTCATAATGCGAACCAAAATTAAATGTTCAACTAAATTAGTTCGATGCACAGTTCTACCGCGTAAGAACTGGCTGCTGGAATGAGCAGTTCATAACAAAATACAGCTCACAAACATGGTTCATAACAAAAGAATCTTAATTAAATAGAAGAGTTGTGCTTACCCAGTCTATGAGATCTCCAGGTACCATTCCTTTGAAGGTAATAAAATCCGGCGTTCACTGGGGTACAGTCGACAGAATCACGAGGAAGGTTGAAAAGAGCTCTACTTTGCGAAGGAGTGGAGATATCCACTAACGTTAAAATGTCATCTCGACCATCGCTTCGACTCAAACAGTTATTATCTAAACGAAAAAGGAAATAATCATTTGTGTTGCCTTATTTTATTTCTCATGCATGAGGTACTTAATGCTAAAACTAAACTTTGTGTTATGAGTACGTACGATTTGTTATGTTGTTTGCGCGCAATTCTTACTTCAAAAACTTTGTTACACGGACAGGAGTTGAGAATGAGACGAAAACGAGACGAAAACGCATTTAAATGCACAAACCTCAATCATCGTCGACAATACTTTTGCTATCGAATTGTCTCTCTTAGTATTGTGTCATGGCTAACACCGACGAAGTTTAACTTGTTGTCCTTCGTTCTCAAGTACTAGAACTCCACAACAACGAAGTGTATGCACGTGGAGTCTTGGTGATACAAAAACGTTTATAGTTTCACTGCCTTTTTACCAACTTTAGTTAAATATGTTTGATCGTGTACGATAAACTACGTTATATTTCATGCTCAAGACCAACGCCTCTTATTAGCTGGACTTGTTCCCAAACGAAGGATTTAAGGGCTTGGGGACGAGGTTGATTCTAAAGATAGTCCGATTCTGGGAATCGCTTTGTTTTCTCATGTAAGTTTGATGCTATCAAGTGCTTGTGTGTTATTTCTTGAAACATTGATTTAACAATAAAACTAAACGAATAATCCAACAGGTAAAAGTCTAATCCTTTAAGTTATTTATCACATTATAATAAGATTATAGCTTTTGATCGATGTCATGGCTAATTTAGAAATATATCTACCTATATCATGCCATAGAAATTGAGTACAACTTAATTAATTAATGTTTTTATCTTAATAGTTGTGATTGCTATCGATAGTTTATCAATCAACGTAGTGAAAAAGGAAAGTTTTTCTTCTTCTTGTGTTAGCTTCATCCTGTGTACTCGTTCAATATTGTTCATTATATACTTGGACTTTGAAAAAAACATTATTTCATATTTTATCAAAGTGTATATTCCAATATGTTAAAGGCAGATATTCTTCAAGTATTTTACTAACTTGGTATTTATGCCACGGTACTGATTGGCACCATATTGCGCATAATAACATATAACAAATTTAACAATTAATAAATATGTTTCAACATGAACGATAGCATTACCCAATCTAGTACTGGCTTTATTGATAAAAATAGCGAAAGATTAAGACTGTTTTCTGTAGCTTATGGTAACCAAACAAAGCTTAAAAGACAAAATACGTAGATCTTTAATATATGAGAAAATTGAAGAATCATTGTGCTGCAAAAAGCCGGATTTATTGCACGATGTTTGTACTTACCTTCTACAAGGCCGACACTAGACACGCATGTTCTGTTATACACAAGAAATGTCGAATAAGGCTTAGTACACTGACACGATTGTTCGTCTGATGTGCAACGAGCTTTGTACTTGGTGCAAACTGAACAGTTCCTTAACCCATAGTCAATTACATCTTGTTCAAAGCGAGAAACTTCCAAAGTTATAACACATGCGAATGAGCTAAGAAAGACAGGCAAGATAATAGCCAAGTACGGCCTGAACATCTTAGATTAATATATGAAAACATTAGAAAATTGGTCTTGTTTGATTGTAACCACACAACGCAGCTTCGATCGACTTCACTGTACAATCAGAAATGACGTGCCATACTTGACCCCTGCCAGTAGTCGAATATCATGTGACACACAGGGTCGATTATTCATTCAATAGTTCCAAGAAAGGCATCTTATTGCTTAAAACTACCTGGGCATTGTCTCTAAAATCACTATTAAATGAATACATGATTTCATCATCAACCCATGGTTGTTTTAGTTGTCCCGACATTCTCGCATTTCCTGAGTTTTGGCGGGAAATAGATGACCCTTGCAATCGTACGATCACGTTTACTTCCTGGTGATCTTACTATTTCCAACTGTTCTTTATTAGCACACTATATTGATATTTTAACTACTGAACCACCCACACAAAACAATTGGAGACGAGGCTAAGGGGAAACAATAGATATAGTAATTCTTTTGTTTCCCAGTAGCCTCTTCTCCAGTTTTTTTTCAGTGCGTATCTATTCAACTATAGAATATCAGTGTGGGTATCTATTCTACTATAGGATATCGAAAGTGGGCGTTTTGTTTTGGCTGAACACACACTGTATTCCTTATTTTTATTGTAAACTTCAACTAAAAACGTCAAACCCATTTCTCCCAATCCATCATTGAGGATATCAAAACCGTGAAACAAAATGTTTTTCGAAGTACCCACCGTCCTTTAGTTTGACATTAGCCCATCAACATAAACCTCAACAACTCAGTTTCTCTATTGCCCTATAGAAAATCGAGGGGGAGCTCTGGTGGAGAAGGAAAGAGACTCTGATCTAAAGGAAATTCTTCATGGTGAAAATGACCAAATAAGCCGACATTATTATATAACAATGTTTATTGCAATACTCTTTGATATTCGTATACTATTTGTGGCAATATATTACCTAATTAGTGCTGTAAAAACAATAAACCTCGAGTTATAAAACTGAACTAGTGTATAGTATTTACTTTGATGTATATGTACTAGTCAGAACTAAAACAAAACTTTCGTAAGGTGCATGTATAGCAAACGTTTTGATACAAATTTTAATTTATTCTTTTACTCCGACGCAGGAAACTTCCAATGGCAGATAAATCTGATTTTGGTGATATTTTTGGCATATATGATAAATTGTAGAGTAATAACACTATATTGGTCCACTTCGGACATGCGCTCTAAAACCGGTTCATGGAACCGTACATAACCTTAGAAATATCAAGCTTAATAGCAAAGTATATAACATAACTGCACTCAAGCACAAAATATACTCTTGTACCTCATTGATATATTAATCAACAATAGCGATTTTCAGTCTCGTTACAAGGAACATCTACAGAGGTGCGTAAACACCTTGTACAGTCAACTCTCGCTATTACGGACACCCTCGGGACCTTAATTTAGTGTCCGCAGTAGCGAGATACTGTAATAACTGGAGTTACTTTCGGTCATTTCCTTGTATTTTTTGCCGGGAGTTTAGCATTTTACTGTCCGCAATATCAAGGTGTCCGTTATAGCGGGGTGTCCGAAAGACGAGAGTTGACTGTACAACTTATACATTTATGGTCTGTAGTCAGGTTTTGGTAGCTTCTTCGTTGTCAATCCAGAAAGTCAGTTTTTAATATTCTACAGTAACGACTTTAGTCTTCAAATACTCGTTGAGAGCCTCCATTCCTGAATAATGAAAGAAACAGTTGTTGTTTGATGTCGTTTCGAAACAGACACAACCAACCAACCAACCGTACATTCACCAAAAAAGAAAGCAAGCTGGCACACAACCGACCAAGCATCCACCTACCCACTCACTCACCAGACATACCAAACATACAACCACACAACCAACCGTCCACCTACCAACTCAACAAACTAAACACCAGAACGCATAACCAAACATCCACCAAACCACCCACTCAATAACTAACAAACCAAGCTGATTTGATTTATAAGCAAATTCCCATCGAATTCAACGTACCAAGGTCTTTCCCAAAGCCAGATTGTTTGAATCCACCAAATGGAGCAGCAACGTCCGTTTTGTTGTAGGTATTCACGAAACATGTCCCAGCCTGAAGAGAGTCTGCAACTCGAAGGGCCTGGAAACAAACACAAATGACTGTGAACAAACAATAAACAGTAGGTGTAAAGATGATTGACATGTACTGTATTGATGGGAGGAATGGGTGAAGATAAAATGGGAAAAAGAAAGGTGAAATGATGCATGAATGGGACGAAAATAGKCAGAAATGAAACAAATGTGTTTTATTGTAAGTACCTTGCTTATGTCTCTTGAGAAAACACCTGATGCCAATCCATATTCAGTATCATTAGCACTCTCCAATACTCCCTCGACATCACTAAATACAACAAAATATTAGTGCGTTCTCCATTATAAAGCATTTGAACATCATTATGTACTGAAGATAGTGTATTCCAAAACCGAAATGCATTGTTGGTAATCAACGCTCTAAAACGAGTTCTTACTGTTTCAAAGTGTCTATTGCCAGCTCTGTGACTACAGCGGAAAGCAACATTACAATTGTCATTTTGTAACGCCACTCCGTGGATCAAATAACAACAATCTATTTCAGGGATATGCAGTATCCCCGTACTTAATAGTGATATCAGTTGACTTTTAGAAATTTACAGACGGAAATGTTGCTGGGGTTCAAAACCTACCCATCATCAAACTTTGATATGATAATGATTGGACCAAAGGACTCTTCCTTAGCGATGAACATCTCGTCTTCAACATCAGTGAATATTGCAGGCTCAAAGAAATATCCTGTTGAAAGCAATAATAAACTATTAATTAAATTAATAACTTAGTATATGGTTTTCAATGACAGTATCCAAGAAAGCCGAGAAAAACTGACATTCACACCAGAAGATTGTTAATGCAAGATGTTGGTTGTCAATCAAGACCTCACCTGGCATTTCAGTCATGTGACGACCGCCGTACACAAGGTTTGCACCTTCATCTACACCTCTCTTAACAAAGTCAATCAGAGAATCCAGATGTGCTCTGGAAATGAGAAAACAACTCTTAAAAAGCTCTCCTTGCGTACTATACAAGCATAGTTCGTACTTTTAATGGTATAATAATTCTAGAAATGTACGTACTTTATTCATTTAAAACACTTTTCCTTTATTACTCATGATATCTATATACACTATAAAATGCTATTAATTATCACTCACTTGTGATTCTGTGGGCCATGATCTGTCGCTCGGTCCAGTGGGTCTCCAATCTTTAACTTTTTGACTTCCTCAATCTGTCAATCAAGCAATAGTTCTTAACAAGAAGGTTTGGTAAAGAATTCTACCTTAGTATCAAGAAATACTGAATGGGTCACAGGTAATTACAAACAAGGAATAAATCTTGAAATCTACAAAGTCTTTTGAGGGTTCGATGACAAATATCTCATACCATGTCTCATGAGATACAACAATAACATTATCAATAGCAATGAAACAATAAATATCTTGCCCTTCTTACCAATCGTTCAACAAATTCATCATGGATTGATTCTTCAACAAACAGCCGACCTGTCAACAAAARACAGGAATCAGCTAAACTCAAATGCACTATAATTACGTCTTGGCTATGCCATACCTGCAGCTATACAGTTTTCTCCTTTGTTAAACAAACAAGCCATCATTCCCTATGGTAGAGTGGTAAGAAAATTTTTATTATAAATCAATTTAAATATATTGCTATTGTTTATAAATTTCTTGTCGTTCTGTCCTTAATTGGTGATTACAATCCTTATTAATCCTTACTAAATCTTTAGACAAATTCGAAAGTGGACACAGTTGTTTTAGTGGCAACAATTACAGCTGTTGTCAGCATGCAATACCTGTCTGACAGCTCTTTCCATATCGCAATCATTGAAGATGATCAAGGGAGACTTGCCGCCCAACTCAAGAGAACACTTTTTAAGGTTACTGGTGGCACAGCTGAAAAATAATAATAGCATACTTTAGTAAGAAGTTGTTCGTAACAATATTGCATGGTTTATATACCATTGTATGCCATTCCTGAACTGGCTATAAGTAGATATCATAAAAACTCCACTATTACCTCTCCATAATTGCCTTTCCTACTGGAGTGGAACCAGTAAAGCCAACCTTACGAATGTCAGGGTGATCACAGATACGATTTCCCACCACGGAACCTATAACAAAGAATAGATTAGTAGATTGTAACGTACAACACATACTACACACTAAGATATAAGTATTCATTCTCACCAGAACCAGGAACAATGTTAATGACTCCTTTGGGAAAGCCAGCTTTTGCAGCCAGCTCAGCAAACTTCAATGCAGTCATAGAAGTCACCTTCAGCGAAAAAAGTCAAAAGAAACTTTCAATGTATGACCCTTATTTAATACATCAAAAGGTTGGCTTACTTGTGCTGGTTTAAGTACAACAGTGTTCCCTGCAGCAAGAAGTGGTCCCATCTTCCATGCCAGCATCATGAGAGGATAATTCCAAGGTACAATTAAACCACAAACTCTGGAACAACAAAAATACCACTTCTTAATACAACCTTTACCACATCAATACAAGAAAATTTGTTATCCAAAATCTACAATTATTAGAAAATGCATTACACCACTTAACAAAATGTGTAATCTTGAAGGAAGTACTACTCTACCTTAACCATCAAATTCTTCCTTTTTTATCAGAGAAAACCCCTGATTGGAGAAGGAAGCCAACCAGGATGTTAGTCCTTTTCTACATGGTGAAGGACTTCAACCATGTAAAGCCGTTATCATGCCCTATTAGCCTTGTAGCTGTCTGATGAAGTAAGACATGTTATCATACATGCATTGGATTTCACAGTCCAAATTCAAACAACTTTATTATGTCTAAAAATAAATGAGTCCTCTGCGTTTAGAATTTATTTTTTTAGAAATTATGCCTGCGTACAAAGAAATTCTAAACTTTATTATGATCCTCTCATATTATGAGGCTCAGGTTAAAGAGGAAGAAATGATGGCCAATAAGGTACATATGGATAATATAGCAGTAAAATAACATTTACCCAATTGGTTCCCTCTTGGTATAACACAGATTCTTGTTGGGTTTGGCATTGTTGACTGGAATGGTTAGACCCTAAAAAATATATCAGTTAGTCAGTAAATCATTTGATCACCCAATCAATCAATCATTTGATCAATCAATCAATCATTCCATGAATCAATTAGTCAATCATTTGATCAATCAATCAATTAGTCATTTGATCTTTCAATCAATCAATTAATTAATCACGTAAATAACTAACCAACAAAATAATGGTCAAATCATTTTAATGAAGAATACCACAATGCTTCACCTGTATCTTATCACACCATCCAGCAAAGTATCTAAAGGTATCAATGGACATTCCAATGTGGGTTTTAAGAGCCAGAGTGTACACAGCTCCAGAATCAAGGGTTTCAATAGTGGCCAACTCCTCTGTATGCTCTTCCATTAAATCTGCAAGTCTGAAAGGTTTACACATTTTGATCAGGTATTCTAGAATATCTACTAATTACACGGGCCCTGCGTAGCAGGGGACCGTGTAGAAAAATGCTGTTGATTTCTTGGTTTTTTTTCATCAATGTCGAAAGTTTGCTCTCGGTACATCTTCGTAGCCAATCACATTGTGATTTATATATCCGGCAGATATCCGGCATCCAATCAACACATTACGTTGTGCGTTCCGAACGATTCCGAACGCTATAGTGGCCAATCAAATTACGCTGTGTGTTCCGAACGATTCCGAACGCTTTAGCTCGCATTTTCCACTGCAGTATTTCTCCGCCATTTTGACTATTG